TAGATTTTAACTTACCGAAAAAAATGAAGTGGAGACTCCTTGGACGCTCTATTAGTGCAATTAATACCACAGCAAGTCATTTTGTCCAACAATTGCACCAATATTATCCAAAACAGAATTCACAAGCACAGAGACTCAAAATCCCGACACAGTTTCCAGGAGAGACCGAGGCTGTACTGAGGCCTTTCCACGGAGCTAGCTCTGTGGTCACGTGGGTCTGAGGCGGCGGTCACGTGTGTCGGATGCTCATTAATTATACAGAATTTTAGGCTTTCAATACACTTAAACAGAAGAGTGAGAAAAAAATTCACCCCCCTCAGAGTTGTCATGAGTGTAAACTAGATAATTTAGACAAAAAACCATTTTTTGAACCAGGCTGTAAACATGTTTATTTCTGCTGTGAAAATGGCATTTTTAACATGGGAGTCAATGAGGATTTGCTCGCTTCTGGTACCAGCCCCCAGCGGATGAGGGTGGAACTGCAATTTTTCTTACTTCCGGGTTGGGACCATTTTCTGAGCGGCATTGTGGGGGCTTGATGGTAAACTACGTATGTAACATTCCTGTAATCTTCAATAAAAATCAGCCGTTTTCAGCAGAACGGCGAGAGTCTGTCCGAAGCATCTGGCAAGAGCAGGTCGCGGGACTTGCTGCAGAGACTCTCCCCCTCATGAGCGGCGAAACAGTGAATGGACTTCTGATCATTTGTCTCCTCGTTCTGCCAACTTAAAAGGTGTTTAACTCCATCTTCTCCGTACCCGTGCTTGGTCTAACAGAAGAAAGACCAACAAATTTGGCGTCACGAACAGGATTTTTTCTTTTTGAAGAAAAAGGAGTTTTTGGAGGACGATTCGACCCACTGACCCAGCGAACAATCTTGGCACAAAAACACCGCGGTGGAAAACAAGGTGAGCAGAGCCTATTATCTAAAATCTGCTCATTGGATTTATCCAAAGCCTTTGTGTCCAGAGTCACAGTAGCTGTGGTCCTAAAATAATAGTTGGAGAAGAAAGTGGAGACAAGTGCAGAAGAAATAAGAGATTTTTTGTAATGGTTTATTGGTAAAATAAAATGAGGATTTTCACAATGGTTTAATGATAAACGAGATAAGGAAATAGAACAGAACAGTAGGGGTTGGAGGCCCAGGGCAATAAGAAGCCCTAAATTCCACTTAGAGAAGGGTTGGAGGCCCAGGGCTATTAGAGAAGCCCTAAATTCCATTTTCCAGGTCGTGGCTGACCACACTATTTGCTGACGAGTGAATAGAATATATAACGAGGTTATATAATGCTTGGTTGGAGTCCATAGGTGTGGGAAGCCTAAAATTCTACAGGTCAAGGACCTGGTTCGGGTTAAGGCCCTGGGAGGCTAAAGAGAGCTCCCTAAATTTTAAAGGCACAGGTCGAGGACCTGGTTTGGGTTAAGGCCCTGGGAGGCTAAAGAGAGCTCCCTAAATTCGAAAGGTCAAGGACCTTTGCATGAGATGAGAAAAATGTTCTAAGGTAACTGTTTTTGCATAAAATAAGTAATGTTTAAAATATGACAAGCAGCCCAGTTGAAGCCACGAGAAATGAGGTTTTATTGAGAAAGTCAGCAGAAAAGGCGATGAAGGAAAAGGGGTAGATGTTAACAGTAGAGGTAACTGGAGCAAGATTTGGGAAGTGAAGGCTGCAGAATCAAGAGGAAAAAGGCACAGCTGTAGACAAGCTTCACTGTGTGTGTAAGCTGAGTTCAGCCTGTGTGTGTGAGGCGCAGCAAGAGGCTGCTTACGGCTCTGGATTGAAAGTGCAGCACTAGGAGAGTGCAGAATGCAGAGCAGAGTTTTGGGAGCTCCGTGTGTGTGTGTGTGTGTGTACAGCGCTGGATGGTGTGTGTGAAGGCCTGATGCGGTACCAGAAAATAAATAAATAAGATAAATAAGAGCTTTAAAAAGTTGCAACTCTTATATGTAAATTACACTGCAGTGCTAAAATTAATGTTTGGAGCTACGCAAAATTCAAAATTCTGCAACCCTGTTCTGATCTGTCTTTGAACAGAACACCATAAGTTAATAAATAAAAGGTTTTTAAAGTAACATATGTGTATGTATGTGTGTATGTATGTATATGTGTATACATATATATACATATGTAGTGTACAAGCGTGATAATCATTTGTGTGCGGGGCAGCATGTGAGTGACCCCGATCTGGGGGTTAAGTGGCCTGGAGATTAAAAAAAAAAAAAAAAAAAAACCCAATAAGAAATGCAAGTAAGGTTGTATATGACAGCTTTATTTCAGAAATATATGGATATACATATACATAAAGCCAGGTAGCTACTAAACAGTAAAATCAAAACAGATCTGCAGAAAATAAATATATAAACTATTCCTCAGAGCGCTCTCAAAAAAATTGCAATTGGATTTGCTCTAATGTTACATAAGGCCTGCTTAAAAGCATAGTAAGCATTAAATTCTGAAAATAACCAGTGCAGTGTTAAATAAATTCTGTGCTTAAAATATTATATATATATATATATAGAGAGAGAATAAATAAGTGACGAACTGACTTACTTTAAAAAAAAAAAAAAAAAAAAGACTGTGACAAACAAAGAATGTCTCTGTGCCTTGTGAATGAGTGGATGCGTGTCTTCTTGCATGAGAAGTAAATGCTGCTTTCGCTGGATCTTCTCCTGAAATGACTCAGTTTTTAATAGAGGGAGCAGCTGCTTGAGAAACGGTGCGGTCCATGTTTTTGCTAGACGGTTATTTAGTTCAAGAGACTGTGGAAACAATAGAAAAAGAATTTATCGTTAGTGTGATGACAAGTAAATCCTTTAAAATACAAAAGTTGCATGGTTGTGGTTATAAAGGAAGTATTTTGTCTGATTAGGGGCCGTGGAGTCAGCTGGACTCCCTCGCTCTCACTGTTTTTCTGTGTAACATGCAGTTTTAAGCAATTTGTGACTTTAGAAAGGATATTTTTCGGTGTTTTGGACGTACCTTAAGGCTCCTGGTTAGGGTAATCAGGAGATCCTTCCTCTCGGACAGATCTAGTGAGAATGACTGGAGTTTCAGCCTGGGGACCTGACTCCACCCACTTTTACACACAAGAATCCCATAGTCTAAAAATAGCACAGGGTGCTGCGAAAAGCAGCTCTGAACTTCTCAGGATCATCTTTATGAAAACCATAAAATTAACAAATAATCAGTCAGGAAATAAAATATTTGATAAATCTTGCTATAAAACAAAATCCAATAATTGTCTTGCCTCAACTTTAAGAACCATTAACGTTAATGGCTGGATTTTGAGATGCTGAATAATGAAAAAACAGATAAACTAAGTATTATTTCCTGTAACCTTGCTAGAAACTGTACCAGGCTGTTTTGAGTTAAAAACTGGTAGTTATTTTCCTAAAATAAAATAGATAAATAAAAAACGAAAGGAGGGATTTTGCATTTGGGATAGATTGTGCCTAAAGTTTAAAACCTGTGTAGAACTGATTTGACGATTCAGAAAAATTGTGCATAGGAAGTAGTCTAGATTTACCTTTGAGTCAATAAAGTCGACTAATTATTAGAAACCATCGTTGATTTTGATTTGTAAAAAGAGAAAGTTCTGTCATTTCAACCCAATCAACATATTTAAGGAAAACGTTTGCTGTGCATTGTGGCGGGCATGAACTTTACTGGGTGGGCCTGTCACAACCAGCTGCAAAGAATGTTTGGGTCTGACTTCTATACAAAGAGAACCTGGAAGCCCTCACCAAAAACTGTGACTTATAACATCAAGACGGGGAGCACTACAAGATGGACAAAGAGGCAGAAACTTATTTGCCCTGCTGCTGATGAAACAAAGTACAAAAGGGGGAGCATGTGTGCTAACATGTGAACTTTAATCAATGACGGTGGTCATCCTGGACTTACAAAGAGAGGCTCAAAAGAGACTGTTTCCTATGGTTACACCCAGTAAAAGAGTGCTTGCTGCAGTCAGGTAATGAACAAGGCTTTTTGGCAACAACCAGTTGAATTGATGAAATGTCAGAACTGTGGAAAAATACTAAACTACTGTAGAACATAGTTAACTGAGAAAGTTAGCCTAAAAAAAGATAATAATAATATCAATAAATAAATAAATAATAGGATTAGTAACCTGGATTTCAGCCCAACTCACCATTGGACGTCAATATAATCTTTATTGTCCTAGGATTCTCAGCTGCAGCGGACATGCAGTAAAGCCTTATTTTCTTTTCAAAACAGAATACATCAGCGTCATCACTTATTTTCATTGGTTAAGGAAACGGTGTCTATTTATAAGTCTAGGAGAACGCTTTAGGCTTCAACAGTTTTCTCCTTCGAGCAAACATGCGCAAATTTCCGGATAGTTTATAGTAACGTTCCATCCCATTCCATTCATTGCATAAAAATAAACATTAAATGAATAATTTGGCATTCAGCTGACTAAATGATTCATGGAACATCTCATCCGAGACAACAGTGTTGTTTCAGCTCCGTTGAGTTTCCCAACAGATCTAGCCAAACCTAGCTGATCCTATATTTTTCTATCAGCTGTAAGTTCTAACGTAGAAAATAATGTCACAAAAATATTGAATAATTGTACCCCTCATTCGATAAAAATTATGTTCACATTCTTATCTTGTGAAATCTTTAACATAATATTTTTAATTGGCCTTTTTGACGACAATTGGCTAAAAAGTCTTTAAGATTATCATCACAGGATGGCATGATAAATAAGTAAATAACATAAATAAATAAATAGACAAAAATAAGAGAGAAAAAGCAAAATTAATTAAATGAAACGTAATAGTGATAAAACGTTAAATTGATCTAAAATCTGTCATTCAGCGCCACTGGAAAAAGGAAGAGGATAGGGGAGTATTTCTTAGCACAAATCACGTTATTGATTTAGCAATGCAGCTTAATTTCAGATGCTTTAAGGATGATACTAACTTGTGTTATAGATGGAGGAGTAGCACAGAAAACACTTCTGGATGAGGAGATAAGGAAAAAACTGCTGATTACCAATACTATGCACAAACAAACCTGTAACTGCAGTTTCGTTATTTATGAATTAACCTTAAGTAGTGAATTAATTCTTAGGATTTCTTGTGCGAGTAGTGTTCCTAAAAAAGAAAGAAAGAAAGAAAGAAGGTAAGAAAGACAGGTAGTTTAGGTAAGGGACAACCTGAAACTATTTGGTTGAATTGATAGTAAAAGTGGTTGTCCTAATTTCTAATTGGAGAGATCACACCGCAACATGAGTTTAGAACGGCAGTTATGGGAAGTTTTGTTGGATTAATTTGATTACACGCTTTAGGTCTTATTTTTTCTTTCCACTGATTTAGCGTTAGGTTAAGTGTTTTCACGCTTTCGCTTCAGTCTGACATTTGCTTGGTGTGTGGGGGCACAGAGACGTGTATGGACCGTGTGTTTGACTGTGTTTGTCTTGTTTGATTGTTTATTTATCTATATGGGCATGGCCGAGCCTTGAGAAACATCAACAAAGCCATTGGGCTATTCTGAGTAAATTGACCAATTCAACTTCAGGATCCTGAAACAATTTGGCTATAACCTCTAATTGATGAAGGACATCTTAAGAATTCATTGTACAAGGCTTCCTCTCCAGTGTTGCTGGAACTGTTATAAAACCCATGCATGGTTGTATATTTTAGTTTGATCATTTATACTCATTGAATTATTGTTGTTTGCTTTATGTTTTAATTTCTTTGTAATTTTTCTCTGTGACACAGGTGGAGATGCTGGTGGCGAAGTGGATCCCACTCATTTCTTTCTCCCACACACATTCTTACTCTCTCCCTCTCTCTGTGTGTGTATGTGCATGTGTATGTGTTTGTGTGTCTGTGTGTGTCCATGTCGTGATGTCACTGTACCTTTAATTGCGCTTGCTGTTCGTAACTGTATGTGTCTGATGTTGAAGGTATCAGAGGCTAGGGTCAGTAAGAGCTAGGACATTTTTGTGCATAACCTTTAATCCCTAGGCGATCGGTTCGGGGAACTTCTGGTCCGGCCGGAGTGTGAATCTTCCTACCAACTATCTGCCAAGATCAATTGGACTGCACAAGCCGAGAAAGCCTTCATTAGACCAAAACTACACACACGAGGAGGCTTCGCCTTCGGTGCCAGGCGTCTGGGTCCTGCTAAAAGTCACCAAAAGGAAGTGGACGGAACCAAGGTGGACCGGGCCATACAGGATCACGGAGAGGACATCACACGCTGTCCGGCAGGACGGGAGGATCCTAACCTGGAAGAGAAGCAGCCGACATCTACCTGACCAGGAGAAGTACCCAAGGACCAGGACGAGAAGCAGCTGACATCTGACCAACCAGAGAAAGGATCCAAAAACCAGGAAGAGAAGTAGCTGACTGCAGTAGCGTGCCAAGCTACCAATTCTGCGGGACGAGGTAGCATGCCAAGCTGCCACCACATCCTGCAGGACGAGAATCGTGACATCATCACCCCCTGCAGCTGCCTGGAGCCAGTGAAGGGACCTCAACAGGGGGAAGAAGTAACCACCCTATGAACATTCTACAAGGGTTCTATTTAACACCCTCATTTATTTTACAAGGGTAATATTTTACACCCTCCACCTGCTGACCCAATTATCCAGATGCCCTTGTTACTAGCCAATCCTAACATCTATTTGGGAGGGGAACCCTCTGATGAAAGTGATGACTCTCATGATGAAGAAGATGTTGTTAGAGTGTGAGAATATTGAGTGATTTATGTAACAATCCCTTAAACTGTTTATTTCTATGAGTTTTTTGATTGTGTTGTTTTTATTTTTTGATCATTGATGTCCTAGGCATGCCCACTCTGTGCCAAAAGGCGTTCGCCTCAAAATGAGGGGACATGGGGGAATTTTCCCTATTTGACGTACATAATTAGGGTTTTTCGCCCTCATACGGTGAGCATGCGATCCATACATGTTGTAACATGTTCAGTTGAAAGTATGATCATGTTTTTTTGTATTAGTTTACTGCTGGAAATATGAGAAGCTGTAATCTGATGGATTGTTTGTATTTGTATTTTAAAACTTTTCTTATTGGATTCTTTTTGATGGAATTTGGTGTTATTGTTTTGATTTCTTATATCTTTATTGAACTCTTAAAAGAGTTCAAAAGGGGGATTGAAAATATATATCTCTCATATAAGCTCTTTCATATATTATTATAAGCTCTTTTATATGAACAAATATGTATCTCTCACTTATGCTCCTTATATATTATCATAAATACATTATTATATGCCTTTTCATGGAATCTTGTTATAATATCGAAAACCTCTCTGTGCCTTTTCTGCTCAAGCTGAACAGCTGCATAAGGGAGTGAAAGTGTTCCTTCCTTCATTTCCTCAATACAAGAACAACTGTCTTTGTTAGCAAAGGATGTTGCAGGATGTGTCCTGATCATCTCAAGGTTGCATGTCCTTGGGATGAATTGGTCTTTCATTAACAAGGCTGTTAGCTGACGTGCGTCTGCAGGTGCAGATGGCAGAATTACGTGTGTGTATGGTAAACTACGTATGTAACATTCCTGTAATCTTCAATAAAAATCAGCCGTTTTCAGCAGAACGGCGAGAGTCTGTCCGAAGCATCTGGCAAGAGCAGGTCGCGGGACTTGCTGCAGAGACTCTCCCCCTCATGAGCGGCGAAACAGTGAATGGACTTCTGATCATTTGTCTCCTCGTTCTGCCAACTTAAAAGGTGTTTAACTCCATCTTCTCCGTACCCGTGCTTGGTCTAACAGAAGAAAGACCAACAACGTGTAGTTTCAATATAACTAAACTTGCCAGATCATAGCAATTTTTCATGAAATAAATAATTGATCTGGGAAACATAAGGTGGTATTTTCACACAGGTGTATTGTTCAGTATTGCTGAACAATGCTACAAACACATAAAACCACCATGTCACGTCCAGCGTTTCTCCCCTCAAGCAGCAGCAAACAGAAATCAGACATCCACTTAACTGTTTTTTTTAGTTGACCATGCACCACATGTGTGGGGGGAGGGAACATATGTTACAAAAATACAGACAATACAAGAACAAACTTGCTGCAACCAGATACATCCCCCCAAGAGAGCAGTGCAGGGTCACACTACGTTCTGCCAGCTCGTGTAAAACTAATAAACCGAGCAAATTATCCCACGGTGTCCCCGAGAACCAAGCAACTAATAAAGCAGATAGACCCAAAAACAATCCGTCACGTTGCCATGCCTAAATAAGAATCTGAAAGGCCAAATTGGATTTTATGTGGATTGAAATGAATTTAAATGAAACAAAATCAAGTTTAATTTGCTTTTCCATGGCAGGAGTGACTGTTTGGCAGTCTTATTTGTTTGATTTTGCAGTTTCTTTCTTAGAATCTATCAGTTGTTTGTCAAACATGTTTTTTTCTCTGATCTGAAAGGATTTTTCATCATGATGTCGTGTCATGCTCATGAGGCCAAGTTTAACGACACCTTGGAGGATTTGGTTTCCATTTATCTCCACAGTCTTGTCAATTGAATAAATTACAATCCAGGTGGTTTTTCTCAGACAGGTGGGCTGATGCTCATCTGTTGTAACAGCGGTCTTATTTTCTGTCTTCAGAAAATATCACTGAAAAACCAACACCAGTAACAACCGACTTCCTATTCTTTTTTGCATAAATTTAGAAAAGCTGCACAGCATGTTTTTGGAATTGAAAATACTAAATATGTACATGATAATAAATGTTCTTTTTTACATCTACTTTACTTGCTTTTATTTAACCACATCCTACCAACTATTTGAATTGTGATAATTTTGGTATAATATCATATCGGACATTCATTTAAAGAGTTAGCTGTCCTTGAAGGAATAACTATCACCAGCCACCTTGTATCCTCTGGTTTCAAACAAAGATAATCTCATGTTAAAAAAACAAACAAACCCTTTGGCTCCAATTAACATTCTGTGTGATGTAATAATAAAAGCCTTCTGGTTACCAACAGATTAACTGACTATTGAATCAATCAAGCGCTAAAAACCACAAAAATGCTAGATTATTGGCTAATGCCTATAAATAGCAAGTAACAGAAAGAATGCAAGGTAACACTTTACCTTCATAATTATTACTTATGCATTATCATGCATTAATAAAATATTAAATGAAGTACAACTGCTTAATGATGTTATGTAATGCATTACTAAGCAGAAAGGGGGTGTTGTAATGTTGATTTTCCTGATGCAAGTGAGGGAATTCTTGCATGTTTTTTAGGTGCTAAATACTCATTTTTTTACCCCATCGAACATCCAACTTTTTGAGTTTAAAAATGTGGTTCACTTGTTAATTTGCAGTGGTCATTAGTAGGGATGAATGCCTTGTAAGTCTTACGCCGGGGGAAAAAAAAAGCACCATTGTGCCTGTTTTAGGTCTGCAGTGAGCCACATCAGAGCTGAGCGACAGGCCTAATCCCAATTCTCGCACCGTGCCCTAGTCCCTTCTGTGAAGTACACTTAGATGAGGTGCACAGTAAGGCTTTGAGTGCGTTGCACACAAGTGAGCCGAGTTAGCATTGCATCGTCAACCGTGACAATGCTGTCCACATTAAATCTTAGTCTAAAACGTTCAGTACACGAGTAAGTGTTATTTATCATCTTAAATGATCGTCTTTCATTTGAAAATACGTTTTTTTTTTCAGAAAAGGCATTTGAGCAATTGTTCCGTCTTCTTCTCAGAATTCCCACGCAGCAATAAATTATAGCTAATATGCTTGCCCGAAGTTCGCCTCAATGCAGACTTGGACAAAGAGCGGCTCAAGGGAACAAAATGGGTGTGGTCTCCTTCTGCATTTGAGAATCGAGACACCCTTTGCACTCGTACCCCCCGACGGGAACATGCAATTGAAGAGCATAAGGGTGAAAGTGTGAGTTTTGGAATGGGTCTCAGAAAAAAGGATTTGGAATCCTTCTTCCGGATTTTTGGACTTCTTACCTCTGATTGGTAAACAGTAACGTGACTACCACTGACTACTTTGCAGAGCAGATGCCTCATCTCCACAAATAACACAAGCTTGAAGGACTTCTGCTGTGTGGCGGGGCTGCTAATTCTAATAGTTAGCATCTACCAGTCAAAATATTCTCTGTTATTTTCTGGACGCTTAACTAACAAGAGCCTTTCCCTGTCATGAATTAAGATGAGTGAGTCCATGAATGTTAAGTGACAGTGTGACATAGATCTGTCAAATTTTCACAGAATTCAGAAACTAAAACAGGTGATAGGTGTAGGAGACTATTTTCATGTTCTGCCTTCATGTTAAGCTCTGAGTGACCCATTATAATCAGAAATGTTGACACCTTTCATTAAAGTCAAGCATGTATTCATGAGATATTTTGTCCACAGACAGGGTAGGTTCCAGTTGCATGTGCATCCTGTGATTACTCGCACACACATACCGGCAAAAATATGATCTCCCTCTTCTTTTGGCGAAAAGCAATAAAACTGACTTGACCCATCTCCTGTATCAGAGGTTTTCTCCCTTCCATCTCTTCACACCAATCAGAATAATCAACCTCAGATCTCTGTTCTCAGCGCAGGCTTCAAAGCATCTGACATCAAATCTGTTACTGATCCATTCATCTTAATGCACTCAATGTTTCATTCAACCTTGTAGAAAGAAAAAAGGACTTAAAGCAAAGATCTTAGAGTGACTCTGTTTAGTATTCCATCAGACTTTAAAGTGGAATTTAAACCTGTGGACGTTTACTCACTGAATCAAGGACAAAAGCTTTTGTTATAGAAAACTTTATTATAAAGGTAGTCATGGAAAATTCATGAAACTGTCCTACAACCAGGGTAAATTCATATAAAGAAAGAAGGAAAACACGAGCAGCGCTGTAATTGAGAGTGAATGGATGATTAATCACACAAACATTTGTTAGTGGACGCAAAAAAAAATTCCTATGGCTTGGTGTTCTACGAAAATAGATGAGATGGGAAAGTCATTCCTTAAGCTTCTTAAGTCTATGGAAAGAACACAAGCTTTAGTCCTATCTGACAGGGAGCACCAATGCAATAAAGAACTTTGGTTTGGGCGTAACTTTCCACTCCAGCATCACCAAAAGGACACGTGTCTCAGAGGAACGTAACAGAAGGCAATATTTTCAGTTCTAGCCCCTCACAAATTGATGCCTTAGTTCATCATGTTAATTCCTCGTTACGTGTGGCATTAGATGATGTAGCCCCTTCAAAAAAGAAGGTAATTAGGGACAGGAAGTTGGCTCCCTGGTTTAACTCTCATTTACGAGCCTTAAAACAAAACTCTAGGAAATTGGAGAGAACATGGCGCTCTACGCACCATGAGGAGGCCTACCTATCCTGGAAAAATAGTCTTGTGCTTTATAAAAATAAGCTTCAACAAACTAGAACTGCTTATTTTTCAGCATTAATTGAGGAGAATAAGCATAATCCTAAATTTATTTTCAGTACATTTGCTAAACTTACACAGAATCATAGCTCTGAGCCATCTATTCCCTTAGCCCTCAGCAGCAATGACTTCATGGGATTTTTTACAAGTAAAATTAATTCTATTAGAAACAAAACCTTTAGCATCCTCCCTAATGCGATTTCTTCT